CCTAATAAACTTTGCTTTAGTACTGTTCATGTCTGTGCCTCGAATTTAATTGTTAATCATTATTTTGAACCTTAATTATTCCCAGAATGGGAGCAGCTTCCTGCAGAGAACGAGAGTCTTTTATTCGTCCATAAAGTTTTCTATGTTTGTTAAGAAGTAAATAAAAACATAAGTTGGGTTTTCTCCCATTTTAAAATGTGTGTTTAGTGTTTAAATCATCACTTTTTGCTCAAAGCTCTTTAAAACTCAAGCTTCAAAGCTGATAGGTCAGAGGTTAAAACTTGCTATAAGTCCATCTTTCTTAGTTAAAATGGGATTGTAGTTCAATAATAAACACATAAGGGTATTTTAAAAGAGGACTAAAGTTACTATTTAGACCACGCAGATTTTAGGATAACATGTAACTGTTATTTTCTTGTAGATTATAAATTATGTCAAAGCACAAATTCCCTTTAGTTTGATTTTTATTTTATTTTTTTTGTGTTTTCTTCCAGATCAGGAAACAGCTTGTGCCTGATTTATATCATAGGTGTGATTTAATTCTGTTTTCTATAGATACAATGATAATAAAGGCATAATAGACATGATAATAGACATCCTAAATAAGCACAGTAGCTTTTATAGCTCATAACTGGCTCTGGTTTAGCAGATAAACGTGTGTAATGATGATCTGAAGTACAGGAGCTGGTTTAATTCCTGTTTTGGCAGAGATGTAATCCATTTTTCTCTGTTTGGACTTTTTATTCCACTTGAATAAAACGCTGTGAAGTGGAGTGGTGGGACTTTTCCTTCAGTTAACAACTTCAATAAATGTCATTTAGAAATGTTTGTGGAGAGAAATCAAGAAGTCATAGAAAGACTTCCTTTAGAAATGTGAGAATTTAGGTATGATTTAGAACTATTCGGTACTTAAATAGAAAATGTGGCTTTTAATGAGCAGTTTCAGACTTTTTCCTCTTCGGCCTCCAGCAGGTGGAAGTTTTACTAATTAAGAACGTTTCCTCAAGACTATTTCACATTTTATAGAATTCACTTAACTTTTTTTCTTTTTTTTTTTATATGTAATTCCTTTTTTTATTTTCTTTTTTTACATATAAATTGGCATATTACCCCCCCCTCTCTCTCTGATGGCGGAATTGGATATTCAACTTTCAGGCTATATATATTTTTTTCTCCCTTTTCAAATATATAAAAACCCTCATTAGCTCTAAAACAAAAATTACTTAAATTAAATGTTCAGAGGTCAGTTGGGCGTCAGTCTAACTTTCTAACTTAACAGTTATTTACTGTTTTATTTATTATATATTATTTACTGTTTTTAGTTATTTAGTTATTTTCTGTCACCTTTGAGACGAATAGCAGCTGTTTCCTTCATTTAATCTAATTTCTTCTTTTTTCTTTTGAAGGATTATTTCAGGTATTATTTGCTGACCAGGGTTAGTTGTGGGTTTCTTTTTGTGTCTGTCTGAATATGTTCATTGTAAGATC